GAGGAATGGCTGGTGTGTTGGTATCGTCAACCTTGTGCTTAGCAGTCCAGTGCTTATCCTAGAGTGCCACACCAGGACTCGAAAGTACCATGGGTTGCCAGAAAAACAAACAAATCTGTCTTGGAAGAAGTACAGCCAGAGTGCTCCGAAGAAACTTCGGCTCATACTTTGGACATGTTGTTAGGTGTGACAAGTCTGTGGAGAAGGACATCATGCTTGGTAAAGGTGAGGGTCAGGGCAAAAATAAGACTGTGTTCAACAAGACAGGTTGACACCATGGCTGCAACTGTGGGCTCAAGCATAACAATAATTGTGGGATGACGCACGATGACGCAGGATGACGCAGTGCTTTGTTCTGTTGTGGAGGGTCACTGTGAGTCAGAGCTGACTGGACGGTGCCTAACAGCAACATCATGAGCTCAGTACTGATTGCCTCTGAACTCAAGAGTCTTTGAGAGACTTACCTTTTGTGTGCTCTTTTCATCTTACCTGTATGTAAAAACTGTACGAGGTAACATCCTGTTTGATTCCCTTTATCTCAAAGAAGAACCCATACATAGCAATCGTCTTTGAATAACTTGTATATTCCTAAATTATGACAGATAAACAACAAAGAGAAGAGAAAAAAATATTCCATATTTAGAGGCATGAAACATAGCAAGGCAAATTCTGGCTACAAAAGCAAAAGTGACTCATTTGACCACTAATCTAAAAATGAAAATATTACAGCAAATTTGGCCATGGAAGCCAGACTGCAACACAAATCCTTGGCAGGTGAGCACTCAGTGACGATCCGTTTATTCCACGTAAGTCCTTTAATGAGGATTAGAAAGAGGGAGGAACATTTTCAAATGGCCTGTAGTCTGCAGACATTTGAAACAAAGCATTTTGTTCCAATTTAATGACCCTAAGGGAGTCTTAAGGAGCTCTGGTAGGGTAGTGGTTATGAGTCTGGCTGCTAACCTCAAGGTCAGCAGTTTGAAACTACTAGCTGTTTTGTGGGAGAAAAATGAGGCTTTCTGCTTCTGTAAAGATTTGCAACCTTGGAAACCCTGTGCAGGATCGCTATGAGTTGGAAACCGACTCCATAGCACCTAGCCACCCCCAACCCCACCAAGGGAGTCCTGGTGTGGTAGGGAATAACGCACTGGACTGCAAGGTTGGTTTTGAAAAGTTCACCAAACCGCTCCTCGGAAACCCTATATAGGGTCGCTGTGAGTCGGAACCAATTTGATGGCACTTAGTAACAAGAAGGGACTCTCAGGAGCCCTGGTGGCACAATGGTTAAGTGTTAAAATGCTAACGAAAGGTTAGTGGTTCAAACCACCTGCTGCTCCACAGGAGAAAAGACCTGGAGTTCTCCTCCCGTAAACATTACAACCTAGGAAACCCAATAGGGCAGTTCTACTCTGTCTTGTCCACCGCTCACCTATCAGTTTGTCGGACTGTGGTGGCTTGTGTGTTGCTGTGATGTTGAAAACTCTGTCACCAGTAGTTTAAATACCAGCAGGGTCACCCATGGTGGCAAGGTTTCAGTTGAGCTTCCAGACTGAGACAGACTAGGAAGATGGGAAGGCAGATTACTTTTGAATGGTTAGCCACTGAAAACCTTATAAACAGCAGTGGAATGCTGTCAGATATAGAGCTGAAAGATGAGCCTCTCAAGTTGGAAGGCACTCAAAATACCTCCTCAACATAAAGTTGACTGTGATGATGTGAATGGAGTAAAGCTTTTGAGACCTTCATTTGCTGATGGGGTACAATTCAAAATAAAGAGAAGCAGCTGAAGACATCCATTAGTAATTGGAACATGGAATGTATGAAGTATGAACCTAGACAACTGGAAGTTGTCAAAAATGAAATTGAACACATAAAGATCAATATCCTAGGCATTAGTGAGCTGAAATGGACTGGTATTGGCCATTTTGAATCAGACAATCATACGGTTTACTATACCAGGAACAACAAAATCCAAGAGCAACAGTGGGGCATTCATTGTCAAAAAGAACACTTCAAGATCTATCTTGAAGTACAATACTGTCTGTGATAAGATAATATCTATTTGCTTACAAGGAAAACTAGTTAATACCACTGTTATTCAAATTTACACACCAACCACTAAAGCCAGTGATAATGAAATTGAAGAATTCTGCTAACATCTTCAGTCTGAAATTGATCAAACACACCATCAAGATGTATTTGCAATTACTGGTGATCAGAATGTGATGGTTGGGAACAAAGAGGAAGGCTCAGTAGTTGAAAAATGTGGCCTTGGTGATCAAAACGATGCTAGAGATAAAATGATAGGATTTTACAAGGCTAAAGAATTATTCATTGCAAATACTTTTTTTTTTTTTTTAACTTTTTACTGTGACTTGAGTGAAGGTTTATAGACAAGATCTCAGGTTTACGTTCAACACATCCTATACTTTGTTTCATCTCAGTGACTGCAATCCCCTCCCTGTAATAACAGTTAACCGGCTTCCTCCCTGTGCTTCCTGTTCGCATTCCTCCACCTTCTTACGCTTCTCAACTCTGTCCTTAGGTCAATGTTGCCCTTTGATTCTGAATGACTGATCATTCCATGGTGAACATACCTTACTAGTGTTGTCCCCCACACTCTATACCTACCTACTGCTTGGCTGAACACTGGGATACAAGGGGGAGTTCCTTTCTAGACCTGAAGTGTGGCGGAGAGCCACAGTCTCAGGTTCCTCCAAGTCTCTTTCTGACCAGTGAACCTGATTTTTTTTTTTTTTAATAATTTTGAGTTTTGTTCCATACGTTCTCCTACTCTGGAGGTGGAGGTTATGTGCCATGGAGTTGGTTCCAACTCATAGTGACCTTGTATAGGGTTTCCAAAGCTGTAAATGTTTGTTGTTGTTGTTAAGTGCTGTGGAGTCGGTTCCGACTCATTGCAACCCTGCACAGGGTTTCCGAGGCTGTAAATCTTTACAGGAGCAGAAAGCCTCATCTTTCTCCTGCAGAGCAGCTGGTAGTTTCAAACTGCTTACATTGTGGTTCATAGCCTGATTCGTAACCACTACGCTACCAGAGCTCCTTTGTTGTTGTTGTTGTTAAGTGCTGTGGAGTCGGTTCCGACTCATTGCAACCCTGCACAGGGTTTCTGAGGCTGTAAATCTTTACGGGAGCAGAACGCCTCATCTTTCTCCTGCAGAGCAGCTGGTAGTTTCAAACTGCTTACATTGTGGTTCATAGCCTGATTCGTAACCACTACGCTACCAGAGCTCCTTTGTTGTTGTTGTTGTTAAGTGCCGTGGAGTTGGTTCCGACTCATTGCAACCCTGCACAGGGTTTCTGAGGCTGTAAATCTTTACGGGAGCAGAACGCCTCATCTTTCTCCCACGGAACTGCTGGTACAGGTGCAGAAATCTTCATCCTTTTCCTGCAGAAAAGCTAGTAGCTTTAAATTGCTGACTGCTATCAGACCTCCTTTCTCCTACTCTATCCAGGACCAAATACCTTTGTTAAACAACATAAAAAGCAACATTAAACACCTGCCCCCCCCCCCCCCGATGAAATCAAAGGAATCATATTGACTACATCTGTGGGAACAGATGGTGGCAAAGCTAAATATCACTCAAAACCAGGCCAGGGAAGACTGGAACAGACCAACAACTGCCATATGCAAGTCAGGTTGAAGCTGAAAAAAATGAAAACAAGTCCAGGAGAACCAAAATATGACCTTGAACATATCCCACCTGAATTCAGAAATCATTTCAAGAATAGATTTGATACATAAGACACTACACTAAAGGCCGAAGACCAGAAGAGCTGTCAGAACATCTAAAACATCAGACAGGAAGAAAGCAAAAGGTCATTAAAAAGACAAAAAAAGACCCAAATGATGTCAGAATAGACTCTGAAATGTGCTCTCCAGCATAGACATGCTAAAGTAAATGAAGAAATGAGAAAGTAAAAGAGCTGAACAGAAAATTTCAAAGAGCTTCAAAAGGCAAAGTATCGTAATGAAGTGTGCAAAGACATAGAGTTAGAAAACCAAAAGAGAATAGGTTCAGTGTTTCTCAAACTGAAAGAACTGAAGAAAAAATGCAATCTTAGATTTTCAATAGTGGAGGATTCTATGGGCAACTGAATGAAGCAAAATGCATCAAATGAAGATGGAAGTAATATACAGAGACACTGTACCAAAAAGAATCGTTCAATGTAAAATTATCTTTAGAGGTAGCATATGATCAAAAACCAATGATATTGAAGGAAGTCCAAGCTGTGCTGAAGGGATTATCAAAAAAACATGGCTCCAGGAATTGAAGGAATACAAAAGGAAAAATTTTCAACAAATTGATGTAGCATTGGAAGCACTCACTCATCTATGCCAAAAAATTTGGAAGCTAGCTTACCTGGCCAACTGATTGGAAGAGAACCTTATTTGTACCCATTCCAAAGAGAGGTGGAACAATGGAATGCGGAAGTCATTGGAAAAATATCATTAATATCACATATAAGGAAAATTTTGCTTAAGACAGTTAAAAAAAAAAAAAGAATACAACAATACATTGACAAGAAATTGCCAGAGGTCCAAGCCAGATTCAGATGAGGACGTAGAATGAGGGATATCATTGCTGATGTCACAAGGATCTTGGCTGAAAGCAGAGAATACCAGAAAGATATTTATTTGTACTTTATTGATTAAATACAAAAGCTTTTGACTGTGTAGACCATGACAAGTTATGGATAAGACTGTGTAATACCCACTGGTATTCCAGAACACTAAATTGTGCTCATGAGAAACCTGTACAGACCAAGAGCCAGTCATTTGAACAGAACAAGGGGATACTGAATGGTTTTAAATCAGGAAAGGTGTGTGTCAGGGTTGTGTACTTTCACCACACTTATTCAAATTATCCAAGAACATGGAATCAGGATCCGAGGAAGACTCAATTAACAACCTGTGTTGTGCAGATAATACAACCTTTCTTGCTGGAAGAGAAGAGGAACTAAAATACTTACTGATGAGGCTCAAAGACTACAGCCTTCATAGTATGGATTACAACTCAACGTCAAGAAAACAGAAATCCTCATGACTGGACTAATAAATAACACCATGATCAATGAAATAAAAATTGAAGTTGTCAAACTTTGTTTTGTTTGGTTCTACAATCAATGCTCTTGGAAGCAGCAGTCAAGACATCAAATTACATATTGTATTAGGCAAATCTGCTGCACAAGACCTCTTTAAAAAAGTGTTCAAGAGCAAAGGTGTCCATTTCAGGACTAAGGTGCACCTGACCCAAGCCATGGTATTTTCAGTTGCCTCATATTAATGTGAAAGTTGGATAATGAATAAGGATGACTGCAGAAGATGATGTATTTGAGTTAAAGTGTTGGAGAAGAATATTGACTATACATAACCATGGAATGTCAGAACAACAAACAAATCTGTCTTCCAAGAAGTACAACTAGAATACTCCTTAGAAGCCAGGATGGTGATACTTTGTCTTTCATACTTTGGACATGTTATTGGGACTGACCATTGGTAAAGTGGAGGGTCAGAGAAAAAGAGGAAGACCCCCAACGAGATGGATTGGCACAGTGGCAGCAGCAATGGCCTTGTATAACAATTGTGAGGATGGTACAGGACTGGGCAGGGTTTCGTTCTGTTGTGCGTAGTGTCACTGTGAGTCAGAGCTGACTCGATGGCACCTAACAACAATGACAACTGTGTCCTGATGGGTCACTATGAGTTGGAGTCAGCTCAATGGCACCCAACAATAACAAAACACTCTCTAACTCATGGTGCTTGTAAGAGGTCCTGGCCTCTGGGGTCTGCAGTCTGTCTACTTAGGTAGGATTCTACAGCCAAGGATGGGCTCCACCCATTCAGGCCTGACTCAGACAGCATTCTATGATGACAGATTCAGGGCCCCAAGTCCCTGAGACATGAATTCTTTTAAGATCACTACTAGGAGGACTTTAAGGAAACCAGCAATTTCTCAGAAACTCTGCCCATCACAGAGTGACCAGGATGAAGTCACCAACTCCTGACTCTCCCTGGAGACTGAGTCCTGAGCTACCTTCAGCCAAGCTCTCTGAATGACTGACCCCAGCCATCCAGAAGGAGATCATCCTTGCACATGTTCTCGTAGCGGGGCCTCTCGATGAGCCAGTTGGCAGTTGCCAATGTGTGTGGAACACAGGGTAACCACTTCATCCCAGTTTCCCCAGGCCTTTCCTGGTTTTGGACTGAAAGTTCCAAATCCCAGAGACAAAAGTAGGTCACAGTGTAATAAATGATTAACCTTGCCCAAAGAAAAAGTCCGTAGGTAACCTCTAAGCTCTTGGAAAGTTTTGCCTGATCAAAGTGTCTTGTTGACCTGGGTGTTGTAGGCCACATCAGAGTCTGTGTTAACAGTGCGATTAATGGTGGGGGTCTTGGGCCCCACTGCAACCGTGTGGCCACTGGAGAGGCAGGAAACTGTGGTCAGTCAATTCCACATGACCACCCCAAGCCCAGGACACCAAGGTTCAGGCAGGCTTTGCTGGTTGTTCATACTGAGTGTCACGCTGCTGCTGGGAGAAGTAAGCATAGCCCACACAATTCTACTGTTGTTGTTGTTGTTAAGTGCCGTCGAGTCGGTTCCGACCCATAGCGACCCTGTATAGGGTTTCCGAGGGTGTAAATCTTTACGGGAGTAGAAAGCCTCATCTTTCTCCCGTGGAGCGGCTGGTAGTTTCGAACCGCTGACCTTAAGGTTCGCAGCCCGATTCGTAACCACTACGCTACTTGGAAGCTCACGCTGGTCTCTCCTGGACCCCATCCCATGCACCTCTTCCCTTGGTTGACTTGAACCTGTGTCCTTTCACTGCAATAAACTGAAACCCTAAATAGAACTGTTTTGCTGAGTTCCTAGAGACCTTTCAGTAAATGCTCTGAACCTGAGGATGGTCATGGGGATTTCTGGAATCACAGCCATCCTGTTGGGAAAACTGGGGCTAAGCACATGATAGTGAATGCCTTCCCAGCCTCATCTCGTGAATTTCGTCTCCAGGAGCTGGTGAGCATGCAGGGGAGACAGCCAAGGTGGCCTAGTCTCTTCTGACTGGGTAAGAATGATCATTCACCAACCCTGATCCCTCGTCTGACTCCAACTCTCAGTACCTGTGTAAAGAGCAGCCCGAATCGTATGGCCTGGGTGGGGAAATCTTTCAGGTGGGCCATATCACCTCCATTCTCCAGCTGAAAGGGAAATGCACACAGCTTCTTAGCATCCTGGTCCCCCGGAGACAAGCAGCCCCATCACCTTCACATCAGCATCGGCCCGTTGAGCCCCTCCCCTTCCCCCACTGCACCTTGTGGTTCTTACGAGGTGGTTCTCCCACTGGATTCTACATTCAGTTACTCAACTGGCCCCAGGTACTTCCTGAAAACCAGTCAGGTGTCATGGACTGTACTGAGTGCTTCCAGGGGTGCAAAGGTAACAAAGACACAAGCATGCTCCCAAGCAGTGAGAGTCACTGCCACCAAAATCCAGAGCAAGTACAGGTGGCACATGCAGGCTCCACGATGCTGCACGGGGCAGGAGGGAGCAGGACTCCAGGAGAATGGCACAACAGTAGAGAAAGCTAAGAGACAGGCAAGGCCAGGTCAGAAGAGCCCACAGAGGGAGGTCATTGTATTCCAGAGGTGGCTAGGCCACAGACACTGTCCTCTCTTGGTCACCCTTCCTCTGCTCTGACCCTTGCCACTCCCTTGTCCATGAAGTCATTATCTGCTTTGCAGGCAGTGCTGGGCACTGTAGTTAGCACATAACAATAGGTAGTTATTGAACTGAATTGAATTTTAACTAATGACTCATAAGTCTCAGAACAAACACTGCTCTCCTTCATCTTTGAAAGACACCACTGGAGACACACAAGAGAGCAACAGTTCACAATGGGGGAGACGCTGCCATCTTCACCAGGAATCAAGAAAACGCATATATCAAACAATGAGGCGCCACTGTTCACCTCTCAGTGAACAAACGTAATGTGAAATGAAATGCTCTGTGTTGGTAGAGATGTACAAAGGGAGCCCCTTTCATAATTGCTGGAAGAAGAGTACTGTTGTTGGTAAGTGCTGTCCAGTCGGTTCCAACTCATAGTGACCCTGTCTAGGGTTTCCAAGGAATAGTTGGGGGTTTGAACTGCTGACCTGGTGGTTCGAAGTCCAGTGCTGACCCTATAGCACCACACCAGGAAGAAGAATATATGGATTCCAAATTGGTTACTCTGTATTATTAACAACCAGGAGTCCTGGTGTGGCGGTGTGGGTTAATGTGCAGGCCTGCAAAATCGGTTTGAACTGCAAGGTTGGTGGTTTAAGCTCACCAGGTGCTCCTTGGAAACCCTATACAGGGTCGCTATGGGTTGGAACCGACTCGACGGCAATTAACAACAACAACACTTAAGAACAAAAACACACATTCCCTTTTGTGTCAGTATGTTTCCTTTTCAGAATCTACTAGAAGAAAATGATTCTAAATACAGTAAAAAAAAATAAAATAAAATACATTTAGCATTCTGTTACCTAATAGTCAGCAATTAGAAAAACTTAAATGTTCAACAGTAAAGGAATAACCAGGTAGTACTGGAGTCCTTGCGTGGCATTGTAGCATAAGCGCTGGGCCATAAGGTCAGTTTGAACCTCAAGGTTGGCAGTCCAAACTCACTAGCGGTTCCTCGGAAGCCCTATACAGGGTTGCTATGAGTCAGAATGGATTCAACGGCACTCAACAACAATAATTGGTTATGGGACATCCTATTGGCGGGACAGTTTGCAGTTGTTAAAACTGATGTTGTGAAGTGTGGTCTAAGAGTACTTAAAAAAAAACCACTGACAGGCAGTAAGTACAGTGAGATGTTAACAGAGGTTGTCTTTGGAAGATGGGTCTGAGGATGTTTGTTTCCTTTCTTCAATTTCTCTGAATTTTTAAAATGTAAAATTTAAGTTTAAAGCAGATATTACATCTGTGCTTGTCAGAAAGAGGACTCAAGGGTGGTGTGATGGGTGCTCTGATCAATTTGGCAAACACCCCAAGCTGCCCTCCACACGCCTCACCTGCCTGGTCCTCCCCCATGACGCCCAAAGAGGATCTGAATACATCCTGAGCTTGAGGGTCCAGAAGTCCTCATTTAAATAAAAGCACATCCAGAAAAACAAAGTCAGAAGCGCAATCGATTTTGAGAATGGTTCCCCTTCTATGCAGCAACTCACTGCTTGGTAATGGCAGGCTGTGATCCGGGTCAACCAGGCCTCCGGGAAGAGATTAAGGTGCCTCAGTTCCTCCAGATCCTTGCCTTGGAAGGACACAAAGAAAGAACGTTTTGAAGGTTTTTATTCACAACAGAACCTCAGAAATCACATTTGCAGAACGAAAAGGAGGAAATGGGCAGAGGGTTGAAAGGAAAAGTGAGGGGTGTACTGGGATTTGATGATAGAAAAAGAAGCATCATGCAGCCACTCAACTGGTTCAGAGTCAATTACTTACGTACTCTAAACGCTCCTCTTTAGCAAACGCATGCGCAAGATTTGGAAATGGACATTGGCTGGGTAACACGGGAGCATAATTAATGTCACTGAATAGTATAAGTAAAAATGGCTACAATGGCAAATGCTCTGTTCAATACATTTCATCACAACTAAAAGAAAACATCTACACATAAGCTTCCAGTGGCGTGAATGAAGAAATTCACTCCAAATTGGACCTTTTTTCTACTATATATTGACAGTTTTAAGTACGATATTATATTTTGAAAGAAATATATTCCCTATAATCTTACAGGAGTCCTGGTGTGGTGCTGTTGGTGAATGCACCAGACTGCAAAGTTGTCTGAACCACAAGGTCAGTGGTTCAAGCTCACTAGCCGCTCCTCGGAAACCCCATACAGGGTCTCTATGAGTCAGAACCAACTTGACAGCACTTAACAACAACAACATCGTCTTGCAAGAAGAACCCACCACCACCCAGTGGCCCCTGGAGGGGACTTGTGAACTGGTGTTCAAGGTGAAGCAGTTGCTAGCCCTCAAAAGTGAGTTTTGACTCATTCACCGCATTCCTCAAAGATAGTTCAGTTCTGACCATATTGTGAGGGGGACGATTGATTACTCAGAAGGGAGACCAAGGGTGTGCACTGTTCCAATTTTCAACTTTTTTTCTTTTAATGTGACAAAGAGGAACAACTTCTGTTTTTATTTTTCTTCCCACACTTCGTCTGGGAATTGCTAACGTGTGTGGAATCCACAAGGAACATAAAAGAGCACTTTTCTCCCAAGTGCCCACAACTTCTGCCTGGAAAGGGAGGTGTGAGATTAGAGATTTACAATGTCTAGAAGCAATTTGGAAAAAAACTACCTGTCTCCATTGACGGTCCTGGGTTTCAGACAAATTTGCTATATTTGGAGAGCTGGCACCATTTTGAAAAAGGTCTCAAAGATCCTGGCAGACACAAAGATCTCACTAGTAGTGGTCTGGGCTGCCCTGACCACATTCCCCGTTTCAGGTTACAGGTGCCTTTCCCTGAGCATGCTGTGGAAGGGACCCCACCTGTGTCTGCTGCACAGACCCCGAGCTTCTTCCCAAACTGTTACTCAGACGAACTACTAGATAACAATCAAATAACCCTTTTGGCAATTCTGTTCAGCTTCTCATCACAGTAGCCCCTCCACACATCATCTTATTCCCAGAATCCCACAGCTAGGACTTGACAGATTAGTTAGCACCTACTGCCTTTGGGGAAACCTGCCAAAGGAGCTCCCAGATGGCTCCTCATGGACGTGCTTGCATGGGCTGGGACTTACCTTTGGTTATGCTGTGAAGACGCAGGCAGAGGAAGAGCGGCAGCAGTCTGTGTCCTGTGTCCTGGTCCAAAAAGGCGCACGTCCTGGGGAAGCTTAGCAGAGGCACAGAGAAGAAGGAGAGGTGCTCAGAAAACTCCTTCCTGGAATTGGCCAAGGTATCTCCTGGGCAGTGCACCTGGTTAACATCCTCGGCTGCTAACCAAAAGGCTGGGGATTCAAATCTACCTGGAAGTGCCTAGCAACAAAGTCCTAGTGCTCTGCCACCGACAACCCTACGGAGCACAGTTCTACTCTGACCGATGAGTTGGACTTGATTCAATGACAACTGGAAGTGAAAGCCAAGGAGATGAGTGGTTTTCCCAACTGGGTAGATGGCACCCCGCTCTTTCTAAAGTTGGGTGGAGGAAGCAGGAGTAATGGGACCCCCTCTATAATGTCAACAGTTCGTTTTGCGTTCAATTGAATGGAAGCCCGTTATAATGCCAACAGTCGCTTTGTATTTGTCTTATGGAATCCCTTAATAGAGCAAAAAGTTCATTGGTATTTGGTCTAATGGAATCCCTCAACAATGCCAATATTTCATTTGTATCAGTGTAATGGAATCCCTCTATTATGGCAAAAGTTCCTAATAGATTGAGCACAAATGAACAGTTGGGTCGCTCTAAGTCAGAACCAACTAGATGGCACTCAAGAACATGCACACAGTAGGTGCCAAGCAACTACGTCTTCAACAATTGATGGGAACACACGTTACTCTATAGAGGACTCCCACCTGCTTGTTCTCACTTGAGTCTCACAAACTTCCTGTGGGGCAACCCAGGCAAATGACATCAGCTCTGTTTTACAGATGGAGGAACAGAGGTTCTGCCAGCACTTGAACTCAGAAACTCTGAGCAAATCAGGCACCTCACAAGGACTTGCTGGTGGAACCGAAAAAAGAATCAGCATGCAAGACTGGGTGGCTGGTGTTAGCAGGTGGTTTTGACATCAGCTGGGACACAGTCTGGGTTCATGCTGAGTCCCAGTGAATTTCCACGCACGCTGGAGGGCAGAACTGGGTGGAGAAGACCCGTTCCCCTCCCCTCAGAAGACACACACAACCAACACCCTTATTTTGAAACAACTTGCTTCATAAAACAGTCATTTCTCACAAATGAGGACAATGGGACATCGTTTTTCCAAGGCCCTTTAGAAATGCGACATCACTTCCTTAAGGCAGAGCCTGTGACAGACCAGCCAAGGTCCCTTCTAGAGGATTTTTCCATTTCCAGCAAGCGAAGTTATTAGCCTTCCTCAAATCCTGATGCCACGATCCTCTTCATATAATCCGGCTTCTCAGATTATTGGTTTAGCATACAAATTGAACAAGTATGGTGAAAGGATACGGTCCTGGCACACACCTTTCCTGATTTTAAACCACTCAGTATCCCCTTGTTCTGTTCGAATAACTGCCTCTTAGTCTACGGACAGGTTACTTACGAGCACAATGAAGTGTTCTGAAATACCCATCTTTCTCAATATTATTCATAGTTTGTTATGATCCACACAATTGAAAGTCTTTGCAGTCAATAAAGCACAAGTAAACATCTTTCTGGTATTCTCTGCTTTCAGCCAAGATCTATCTGACATCAGTAATGATATCCCTCATTCCATGTCCTCTTCTGAATCCAGCTTGAATTTCTGGCTGTATTCTGTAATGCTGCAACTATTTTTGAATTGTCTCCAGAAACATTTTACTTCCATGTGATATTAAGGATAGTGTTTGAGGATTTCCACAGGTGGTTGGATTACCTTTCTTTGGAATGGGTACAAATATGGATCTCTCCCAATCAGGTGACCAGATAGCTGCTTTCCAAATTTCCTGGCAGAGACAAGTGAGTGCCTCCAGTGCTGTATTCGTTTGTTGAAACATTTCAGTTGCTATTCCATCAATTCCTGGAGCCTTGTTTTTGCCAATACTTTCAATACAGCCTGGGTTTCTTCCTCTGATACCATCAGTTCTTGATCCTATGCTACTTCTTGAAGTGGCTGAGCATCGACCAATTCTTTTTGGTACAGTGACTCTGTGTATTCTGTCCATCTTCTTTGGATGCTCCCTACATCATTCACTCTTTGCCCATAGAATCTTTCAATATTGTGAGTTGAGGTGTGAAGTTTTTTCAGTTGTTTCATCTTGAGAAATGTTGAGCGTGTTCTTCCCTATTTGGTTTTCTGACTCCAGGTTTTTGCACATTTCATTATAATACTTGAATTTGTCTTCCTGAGCTACCCTCTTGGAACTTCCGGTTCATATCTTTAATTCCTCATTTCTTCCATTCACTTTAGCTTCTCTACATGCAAGAGCAGTTTCAGAGTCTCTTCTCACATTCCTTTTTGTCTTTTCTTTCTTTCCAGTCATTTTAATGACCTATTGCTTCCTTCATGTATGATGTTCTTGATGGCATCCCTGTTCTGGTCTTTGGTGATTGGTGTCTAATACATGAAATCTGTTCTGGAGATAGCCTCTAAATGCATGTGGGATATATTTAAGTTCATATGTGACTCTCATGGACTTGTTTTCATTTTCTTTAGCTTCAGCTTGAACTTGTATATCAGCAATTTGTGGTGTGTTCCACAGTCCGCCACTGGTATTGTTTTGGCTGATGATACAGAGCTTGTCTGTCGTCTCTTCCCACAGATGTAGTCAACTTGATTCCTGTATATTTCATCTGGTGAGGTCCACACGTATAATCGCTTTATATGCTGTTGTAAAAGGGTATTTTTAATGAATAAGTCATTGATCTTGCAAAATTCTAACATGGGATCTCCAGCATCTACTACCAAGTCCATATTTTCCAAATGCTAATCTTTCCTCTGTTTCCAATTTTCACATGCTTGATCAATTTCAGACAGAAGAATTGGGTGGAATTTTTCAATTTCATCATCACTGACGTTAGTGGTTGTTGTGTAAATTTGAATAATTGTGATATTAACTGGTCTTCCTTATTGTTGTTGTTCTTGTTTGTGAGGTTCTGTCTGGTTGGTTCTAACTTATAGTGACCCTGTACAGGGTTTCCTGAGGAGCAGTTGGTGGGTTTGAACCACTGGCCTTGAGATTAGCAGTCCAGTGCTTATCCTACAGCACTATACCAAGACTCCTTGTAGGTGTACAGATATTATCCTATACTATATTTCAAAGTAGATGCTTAACAGCTCTCACATAATGAATCTGATGCCATTCCTCTTCAATTTGTCTTTCCTTACACAGTGAACCATGTGATTCTTGATTCAAAATGGCCAGTAACCGTCCATTTCACCTTACTAAAGTTTGGTGGTGGTGGTGTGCCGTGGAGTTGGTTCCAACTCATAGCGACCCTGCACAGGGTTTCCAAGGCTGTACATTTTTACGTGAGCAGAAATCCTCATCTTTCTCCTGCGGAACAGCTGGCAGTTTCGAACTGCTGTCCTTGAGGTTAGCAGCCCGATTCGTAACCACTACACTACCAGAGCTCCCTTACTAATGCCTACGATATCCATTGTTATGCATTCCATCTCATTTTTGATGACTTCCCATTTTTCTAGATGCATACTTCATACATTCCATGTTCCGATTATTAATGGGTGTTTACAGTTGTTACTTCCCATTTTGAATTGTGACACATAAGCAACAGATGGTCCCCAAAGCTAGCTTCATTCACATCATCAAGGCCAACTCTACTTTGAGGAGACAGCTCTTCCCTCATCAGATTTTGAGTGCCTTCTAGCCTCGGAACGGGCTGGTCTTCCAGCACTGCATCTGATAATGTGCTGCTGCTGTTTGTAAGTTTTCAGTGGCTGACTTTTCAGAAATGTTCTGCCTCTTCTCCTTCCTAGTCTGTCTTAGCCTGGATGCTCCACTTAAACCTGTCCACCATGGATGACTCTTCTGGTAATTAAGATACTCCAGCATAACAGCAAC